CTCAGCAAAGCACCCAGGCATGCTACTGTCTGTGTCTCTGCACGGCTTCTCTATAGGCAGGATGACAATATTATTTCTCCCATTATGTGTGATCCTGTCTAAGGCAGGTGCTGTTATACTTCAGTTTTAATGGATAAGGCATATAAGTGTCCCTCTAGAGTAGATACAGTGTTTGTCTGCCTTATATTAGAAGTTTCTCTGTCATCACTAGGACATTTTGGCCTAAAAAGACTATGTTGCTGTCTGGTTCTGAAGAAACGCAGCTAACGTGCTACACTAAATGTGCAATAACTGTTGGCTGGTTTTGTGCTTGCAATAGTGCAGGCCCCCTACCCCATTGTACTTGTACCCTTGTACAAGCAAAGGGACTAAGGGAATCCGTCTAGAAATAGGCTTCTTTCCCCCAAGTATTTGATTCTATGCTAGTGCTCAGGTCTTAGGGGATGACTATCAGCCTCTCCAAATTAGAGGATGCTCCAATAGCAATTCCATTTGCTACCTTACTCACTGAATTGGCAGTTTTAACGTAGGCAACATTCCCACTGTGTGCAAGATCACCAAGCTTAATTTGTCCTTTCCCTAATTGTGCTTTATGAACATTTGCAATAGTTTGATTAGGTGGAGCACACAAAGGAGTGATACACAGATAGATGGCGGCTTAGGGTTTATGAACGCTTGGTGTTTGTGGCATACGCTATGTACTGAAATGAAGTATCAAGTGCGCTATGCCAATTCACCTTAGCAGTGCAGTGCAAGGAGCTTAGATATCATAGAGGGCTAATGCACTGCCCAGTAATTTCTCGATTCCCGAGTTCAAATTGTATTTAGCTCATAACGGCCAAGCATTTAATAGTGCCAGTCTGTTCCTCACAGATATTTGGCTACCTTATGAAATTGTTGCATAAATCTGGCAGGGTTTGTTTAAACTTAGTACAAAACATTACGCACCGTATACTGAAGAGCAGGGTGTGTAAAAAGGTTTGCTAGGTTTGCTAAAAAAGCAACATTACTTTTATTCTACTATGAAATGCTAACTGTACCTTGCTTTTACTGTAGCCATAAGAGCATTATTTCCATCTCTGGATTTCACTCTTCTTTTTGAAACAACTTCGAGAGCTCCTGAACATTACAGTAATCTGGCACTCAGGTAAGAGAACAGGCAACGTGGAGATACTAACCCACAGCGGGCTGTGAACAGACTTGTGATTTCGAAAGAGATCTAGGAATCCAGAGGGATCTCCTAGCTCAGGACTGAATCCTGTGACCTGATGATTCTACAAACACTGTATTTCTGTAGTGAAGCACTGGAATAGACAGGCAGAAGGAATCTCCCTTGATTGGAAGATGTTACGGAAGGCAAAAGTAACATCTGCCAGGTCAAGGTATAGTTGATTCTCACTGGGGAGAAGGAGATCACCTAGATGACCTCTGTAGGTGCAGTCCAAAGAGTGGGTCAGAGACATGATTATTTCCCTGCTCTCCCTGGTTTTGGGAGGAAGCATACGTTTTTGCATCCCTTTTTAGAGAAGCTTATTCCCTGTGACCTACTCAGTCAGCTCTGGATGGGAGTGACCTCTCCCTCCTTACCAAAACTTTGGGGTAGAAGGAGTCGTGGTAAGGCAGGCTTTTCCTCTTCTGAGAGGGCCTCACAACCTGACCATGACCTAGGGCAGTCTGTGAAGTGAGAAACATGTTTTCCTCCTGCTTTCTCATTGGCCTACAAGACTGAATAGGTGCTGTGATTCGACTCGTCTGTAACAGTAAAATGCTATACTGCATACAGTAAATCCATAATAGTCTTGCTGATGCCACTTTATTTCTCTCAACCTTCAGGGCCAGAAGAAAACTACTTTCCGTGTGGAGATCCTGGTATTGTCATGAACTAACAATGGTGTTGTGCTATGAAGCGTACCCACAGTATTCAGTGGCACAATAACTCCCAATGAAGAGGGACCCCACAAAGCATGGAAATGTTTTATAATATTAAATTGGCAAATCACTGGCCTTCTAGGGTGAGTCAGTCAATCAAAGTTGGTGAATGTGTTTTGAAAGAGTTCTCTGTGATAGTAAAACAACCCCCAGTGACGGGAAGGATGATTTTACAGAACCATGGCAGAGAGATTTGGTACGAAGCTTTAGAAAGTGTTGCCATGCCTTAATGTTGGAAAGTATCAGTGTCTGTATTTAAGCTTGCTTTCATTCTGTATTTCCCCCAAATTGCCTAGAATCTGAAAATATAACAATATATTCAAATACTGCTATTGCTAATATCTAAATCTATGATGATAAAATTACCAAGGCATTATGATGTTTTCTCCTCAGTTTCTGCTTCTCAGATGGAGATATAAACAGAGCCATAGCTGGAAAGATTTTTGTTCAGCAAAAGAAAACAGAAGTATTTCCCCCTTACTTCCATTTGCCTAGTTGCCCGCTTCTCAGGTTAAATATCAGAGATTAACTCCACTGCAACTAGTCCATGGGAGACGTAAACCAGAAGTAGCAACCTTACACGCTGCCAAGAGGTGAACTGTTAATAACACGGTAGAGTCCACAATAGAAAGTCCACTACGTAGACTTTGTTAGGCTTTAATGGTGCACAAACAATATTTTGGGCTGCCATGCTGCAGAGCATGAAGATCACTGTTTGTGCAGTGCAGGTACATTATGACGTGTGTTCTTTCTCATGCCATTTGCTATTTTGGTGTTGAAATTGTGTATGTCAACTTTTAGTTAAAAGAAAAACGAGAAAGGAAATGTTCACAGGAAGCATTATGTTTGGATAATCTGTACAATCTGTTTACCTCTCTAGAGTTTGAAATTGCTTACTAAAGATTTACTGACCCAAGAAGTAAATTTCACTGAAACAACACTGGTGTCCTGCCAAAAAAGGACATCTCTAATCCTGCTGCATAAATATGGGTTTCAAGCTTCAAGGCAGCATTTGAGATTTGGAATATCACCCCTGTTAGCTACCATTATCCTCATGGAAGTGAGAACAGACCCCAGGTAACATAATTAGGTCACTGCCCTATCAGTTATCATCAGCAGATATCTGACAAATCACAGAAGTCTGGGATAGGCTGAATTCTTATAAGGCATATAAAAATTGTATTTCACAGGTATAATAAACTCTTTTAAAAAAAGAGAGAAAGCAGCACTGTAATACATTTTGTGTAGTAGATCAGTGTTGACCTGGACAGCAGATCAAAATATACATACTGTATAAATGTACTTTCAAGTTTATGGACTTTTAAAAAACATAGATTACTGACTTCAAACTGTAGCAGCTCCTCAGGAGCCATTCCTGTCTGTCAAAAATGCATATTTGGGGACTTACTTAAATAAAAATGTGGGTTATTGACCTGATAGGCTGTGACCGCGGCAAAAGTTTAAATCATTGTCAAAAACAACAGGAAAGGCATTTTTTGAACAGTTTATGGTCTGCTGAGCAAATGCAGCTTCTGGCTTTGTTTCCACAATAATAGCCTCATCCAACTCATTGAAGTCAATAGGGGTTTTGCCATTCAATTTTAAAAGGAGGGGAAAGGGCCCCAAAAAAGTAGAGAGTCTTTTGAATATTTTGTTGACAGTTATGCCTCATGAAGTAGCAACTTTACCTGCCTGGCAAGAAAAATAGCTCAGCTTTTATAATTTCCATCAAAAAAAAAAAAAACAGAAAAAGATTAGAAAAGGAATAGGAAACTGAAAATTGGCAATGTTTTTTGCTCTGGCTTCAAGATGCTTCAGAGGGGAATGAAAACGTCCTAATGTGGCTTATCTCATATTCACGCCAAACATTAGCAGGACAGGATTTGGCGGTAAGAAAGGCTGACCCTTTCAGAGTGCTCAGTTCACAGGATGTCCAGAACTTTGCGTGAAGAAAATTCACTCTCTACCAAAGCAACAGGGACAAAATTGGCTTCCAGGAAGGATTCTGCATTATCAAAGATGGCATCTATTACTTGAGGATTCTCCTCACATTTTCTAGCTTTCCAGAAGTCTTTGTTCTGCACAGGCTTGAAATATTAAAGTGTAGAAACTATCCATGCTTCTTACCATAAAACATGGGGAAAAAGAAAACATTTGTTACCTCCTGCAAATGGTATAATTCTAATTGGAGAACATCAAACTCCTGAAAACATGTTCAGTTTTATCCCTATTACAAAGCCACCTTGTGTTTACACACCATAGAGTGAAATATTTTATCTTAAGCATGAACCTACTGTGGGTGGCTGTGATTTAAAATATCTAATCAGCCACAGGGTCTGAGTACATGCCTGGCAAAAGCCAAAAAGCCATCTTCTAGTCATCTCCGTTTTTTATATCTCTAGCTGAGAGGTAATAATAAAAGCGTATTTTGCACTTCAAAATTATAACTTGCCTCTGTATTCTAGCAGAGCCTGAGCTTATCAGTAAACAAACATAAAAAAAAAAGGCAAACAGCAGTACTGATTTGTGTTATACATTGTGGAAGTCATTAACTATGACTCAGGTAGCAAAACTTATACGTTCTCTTTTTGACAGTGATGACAATTTAATAGTATTTGACTGTGCTGAGTTACATAGAGCATCCTGCAGCAATGAGAGAGGTTGTTTATCAAAATGATAAACATGTTTTCATTTCCTCCTTGGCTGCATATATGTGATCAGAAGTCTAAGGCCATCAAGAATTCACTTATTCTGGCCACCAGGCAGACATTAAGCTATTCAGGACCATCTGTGCTTGAAATGAGTTCCACTTAATGGACCTTCCTAGGGCAGGTCACTCATAATGAATGCGTGTGTGCATGAATGCATGAGCAAAGCCGCACATAGGGGAGATGTCTTGGGTTGTTTGGCGGAGGCACGGACAGTTGACTGATAAGACATGCCTTTCTTTCATACACCCAGCGATTTTAGAATTCAGATCCTCTATTGCATTTGCTTCTGTCTCATCTCCAATGCACCAGGC